CTTTATCTGTAACTTATTTCAAGTCTCTGCTATTAGATCGGAATATATTGCGTCGAAACACGTGATTTGAATGACTGAAAATAAACTGTAGGGCGTATGGAAGGAATAAGTGGAGGTATAACTGAGGTTATGTTCCGGCATTTGCCTTGGGAGACTACGTAGCTAGATTATGTGTTCAGAGGCGTTTAAAATATAAAGCGCACAAGCATAACTATCACGTTTTTAAGAACTAAGTATATGAGGTGCTAACTTGAGAAATTTCCCAAATAAGTCTTTGAATTCTCGGTTCAAATAAACGGAGTAGTGCGTGAATCACTGAGGGAACTGGCCACTCTCGACACTTATTATAATCATAATTGTGATTTTTTAAAACTGTATCACCGTTCCATTGGTTTTATAATTTTTCGATAACAGTAAAACTCTTAAACTTGATTAACGTTTCAGAAAGCACACCGTTGACTTCTTTCAAAATAAGAATATTTTGGCCATGTTTAAAATTTTAAATTTCATTAGGCATTTCGTCATTGAATTTTGCTTTACTATTCCGCAGATTTTATGAAATCTGAATGTTCATTGCCACGCTCAAAAAATCCCGCAAGTGCTCCTTAATCCTGAAATACACGAAGCCAGCCCACATCGGCAACAGATATTTTAATTACTGTCGTCCAGAGAATAATGATCTTTCCACCTGCAATTTTATGTTCTCTTTTGTGCATTGACTCAGGTTTCTGACTCACGCTTTGATTTTCCTTCGTGATTTAGAAGCAGGTTAATACATAATCGTTTTGATCCATGTCATAACAGAATTAAATCAAATGTAGTGTTTATTTAATTTTCCATTACGCTCGCTTAATAATGGATAGTTTTGTCTCTGTTCTATTGCTGTTGAGCTTAATCAATTCTTAACCAAATCGACGACATCAATTTAGTGCCAAATTGTAGCTTGCGTTGTCCTGCCATTCTCGATTTGAAGCTTCGAATTTAGCAACCCTCCCTACGTGAGATATCCCAATTCCTGGGAGTAAGGAGCAGGGGAGAGTGAAAGCAAGAAACTCTTTTCCTCACGTCGTACGTCACTTCCGCCACGTAGATTGACCGACCTGTGCCTTACTGCAGTTAGCAGACCTTATTTTAGTTAGAAAGGACTGATCCTAGCATTCGGTATATTTACTTGTGGTCAGTGACCTACTGTTTTAAGTCAGGTTTCAGCTGCCCCTTGTGGTGTTTCATTTTATTATTTATTTAATGTTCTGTCTGACGACAGGTCCATATGAACAGGATCCTTCCATCCTTTTCTCGGACTGGGACCTGTTCATATACGTTCTTGGCAGATGATCTAGAAGTGGTTTGCCATTGCCTTCTTCTGTGTGTGAATGGAGTAATTGTTGGGATGCCACGGAGGAAAACTCCGTGTTGCCTAGACCACGGCCTTGCCCAACACAAGTTATAAATTCGGGCACCGCCGGGAATCGAACCCGAGACCCCAGGATTACAAGGCCAGCGTGGTCCTTGTGGTGTACTGACGACTAAAGTTAAATAATATTAAGATGGGAAACACGAACTACACGCTCACCTAAACTTGAAGCTTAATTAAAATACAGAGTTACCTTGGTTCAAATAGTCACCACAAAAACTAATCCTTTATGTTTTCAAATTATTTATGACTTACAAGGAGTAGAAGTTTTGTGGTAGGCCTAAACTTCTTTATTTGTGGTTTGTTTACATAACTGTTAAGAGCTCATTATACAGTGAAATTAGGGATTATTAATTAAAAATAAATGAGAAAGCGAAGTAGGAAACGTGGAATAATTTATGGACTAACCGTGGATTTTCCTCGGCGGATTAAGACAAACCGCAGTAATCTTCGCTCAGGTAACCGGCGTCCGAACCAAAATGAAAAACCTCTTCAGCGCGAAAGTAGAACAGGCCTGTCAAAAACTCTGTCGTGACATTCGGTGGTTGACTCTAAAATTAGTGTGTTTTAGAAACTGTGTTAAGTGTTTTGTATTTAATATTGGGATCTAAGTCGGCAAAGCGACTGGCCACGGGATGAATATTCGTGATTCCGATAGCCGGCACAGAAGGATTTTTCCTCTTCATCACCGGTGAAGCTCACCACTCACCTACAGCAAATGTCAATGTTAAAGAAATGTGGGAAGTTTTATCCTTACGCCCTATGACATCGTACTCAGAATCACTTTAAATTCAGCTCTCATGTTCCCACGAGAAGAGGGACCTGCTTTTCTGTTCGGAAATGGAGGCAGACAGACATACGAACCGTTTGACATGGAATGCTTTCATATAAACAATGCTCGAAAAATAAAAATAATGTCAATTCACATTGACTTCACATTGAGTTCACAGACCCAGTCGAACTTAAAACTCTCAGGTAGTACACCTGACACGGAAGTAAAACCCTAATTAAAGATTCTCTTTACACAAAAATATCGGTAAAATATACTTGCTTTTGGTCAGTATCAATCACATTACTTGGTTCATCATCTCGGAACATAAAATCGGAAATTACTATTTTTAAATGTCCGTCGAATAGACTTTCCCAAATTAAATTTTTAGATCGTGTCCTATTCCATTTATAACTGGAACACTTCTAAGTCGTCTCTGAGAATATTTATAAAGTTTAGGTATAAATTCAGTACAGAGGTATGATTTTACATGGCCGGTATCCAATTAAATTAATTCGCTTAACAGTTTAGGAGCGAATGCGAATATATAATTTCATAAAAATCGGTTGAATATCTTCTGAGGCTAAACATTCATAATGGGAGATTAACGAATGTATAAAACCTCTATATCATGTGTTCATTTTGTTCAGTTTATTATAAAACACAAAATAAAGTATTTCTACGTTGCTTACGTTCTATCTGAAAAGGAATTGTGCTGAACTATCTTACAATAAGCACTTTTAATAAATATTTAACAACTACAAAGCGTTTAGACAAGCATTCGTTTCGAGAAAAGATACGTTTTCTTTCCTTATGTACGACACAGCCGAAGAATATGTGAGTACAGTCTAACTTAACAATCTTGAACATCCTTCACGTTAGTGTTAAAAGAAAAAGACCATACCGAATGTCATGGGGATTAATTTTATGGATTTAAACTTATGGGAACGTCGATTTTAATAGGCGCTCTGCAAAAAATGTAACTCACCTAAGAACGTAAGAATTACACAGTCATTTGTTCATGCACGTTGTCATCTGACGATGCCCTACGTGGAGACCACAACGATAACGAATTGCTACTCTGTTTCGGTATAATCATTCTCTGTAAATACAGCGAGGTGCTGTTTATGAAGGCGTAGCAGGTGGCTATTGCGACAGGAAAGTGATTGCTATGCCGTGGTAAGACGGCATTAAGGAAATGGGCCGATAATCCGGCGATGGCTCGGCGGTGCAACATGAGAATTATTCCAGATTTGCAGTAACATTGCACAGTGCGAGGATCGATTTGTTGACTAACCTAGAAGCATTCGACAGGCTTTAATACGACTTCAGGGAACTGTGACTGGTTGCATCATGAAAATCAATGAAGCAGGATAAGGAGAACTCTGTTTCGAATGTTCCAACAGGAAATTGAGACTTCGGATGTTTTTGGCAAACCGATTCCAATTATGGATTACGGATCATTGAACTTTTATTGGTTATTTCCATAACTTTCGTCAAAGGAAAGATGAAGAATACGAACCACTCGTATTCCTATATGTAATAAGAGGGAGCTGGAGATAGAGCATGGCTACGAGACGCAATACAAACAGCTTACAAGCAAGTTGGATGTGTCTGTGACCAATGCTTTATACAAGAAAGAATACAAAAGTAAATGGAGTAGAAGGATACGTCTGATCAACTCCCTAAAGAGATCCCTTCTTCAGAATCTGACAGCAACAACATTTTCCGTCTTGTGTGGGACTTAAATGTTCATTACCGAGTTCACAAAATCTCGTCACCCGCACTGATCCTAAACCACAATAACCAATTCCACGTTCTTCCACCTTCTTTTTTGAAACCATAATAATATTCTTCTTTGGTTATAAAAATAAATGATTATAAAAAATAAATATATGTAATATTCATTCTGTTCTTGCTTTTTAATATAAAATTTTTGTGTACATTAAGTATCAGCAGAAATAGAACAAAAGACTTGCTTATTTCTGGGATAGAAAGTTGTATTTTAGTTTGGTCTTTCTTGTATAAGTATTATGATTTCCTGTACTGTAGTTTATACAAATTTTTGGGTTATAAACATGCTCTTGGGATTTATTATTGGCCACTTTTCTTGTCTCCTTGTTGTCAATGATAACGATTAACTTAATGCTTATTTGAGTCACGTTTTGCACAACATCAAATACTAACAATTTCGAATAATATTCTAAATATTCGTCAGTAGTATAGATCACTAATATCCAGCGGGTTTTGCTTTGATCATGGCAAAGAACTTTTGTGTTCCGCGTAAGAAACGCGCTGTGTTTTGTGACATGTCATCATGCTGTCGTACGTTGTCGTTCTGGTCTGACTGGAAGCTCGACGTACGGTAACCGTGGAGGCGTCGGGCACAAATGTATGATGAAACGAGTTTTAGTTAAGTATCGAGGAATATCATCGTTGTTAAATGAATAGAAAACTATTTACAAAATTTTTCCCGTGAAGTTTACATTCATACGCGGACGAAAACGGGACTGTCATCTTGGGTTTTAATGTAATAAATAAAATACTGATCTGACGAATTCATCGGGTTCAAAAATTTTAGTGCAGTTGAGTGGTACTGCAGCCATTTCTGGACTTCAATGAAGCCTGTGATTCAGCTAGGATTCAAGTATTATACAACATTCGAATTAAGTTAATGTATTCATGAAGCTACTCACGTTAACAAAATGTTTTTGAATTAGTCATATGGTAAATCCCGTTGTGTAAATATTTATCCGATTCAGTAGGATGTGAGAAAAGGGGAAACTTTATTACTATTTGTTTTAAACTTTTCTTTAGAAAACGCCACCAGGAAGATCAAAGGAAGGAAGGAAGGGTCAACTGGGATTTAGTGGATAGAACCAACTTCATATGTGCGCTGACTACGAGAATTTGTTAGTTGAAAACATAATTATCGCAGAGCAAAAAAACATGGGATCTCTATTATGAGCTGGCTCTAATGCAACGCAAATAAAAGAAGTGTGTGTCAAAGCGAATCTAGCACCAAAATCATTACATGAATTTGTGCTTCCCAGTTCCTTTAATCCGCCACTGACCCCCAGCACAGCATCCTATTTACTTAGATCTCATGATCACCACGCGATTTCATTAAATATCTGTGCAATTGGCGAGATCGCGGACAGCTCTATGATAAAGAGCTTTTTTGTTGATGGGCCAAATCAAAGCCTCCCTCTAGGTTCGTGGGGTAACAGAGTCTCTTGATCCTTCAAGAGGATTGACCTCTTTAATTAGGATATTGCCCTTAGACCTGGGCCTTAGACACAACCTGACCAGGGTCTATTTCGGTAGCAACACATACCTGGTTTCCAAAAGCCTCCGTTAATGCCTTAATTCTCCTCGGATTTTAGTTTTCATTTTACTGACACCCCTGGAACTTGGTCTGTGCCACATTAAACCTCTTTATCTTAAAGGCTACATAATATAAATCGCCTTCGTCGACGGGTTTGCTGGAACTCCCAGCTCTGTATTTCAGTGTGTCAGAACTACTCTCTGTCAACCCACAGATTCTCTGGAATCTACAACAACCTCGATAGTGGTACACCTCAACTACTGACTTCCTATCCAAAGGTATTCTAGAATCGCTATTTTTCTACAGTGGTATTTACAGCCATTGGCTCCCAGAGAGGTGACCTCTGCAGACAGGGAATGATTCATAAGCAAATAATCTGGTGAATCCCTGCCCATGTTTTTCTCCTGGCTGATAGTGTCAGGACCCGAAGTGGCGTTCCAAAACTTATGGCACTCTGCGGTCCGAAGCAACGAATGCCAGCGATTGGATTATGCTGGGTCATATAAAACCATTTCGAGAGTTGACTATACTAAGAT